TTGATTATGTGAATGAATAAGCTCACCTTGTCTTAGGCTCTGGTCTTCAGTGGTGCAGTTTCAGACATGTCTTTCCCCAGCACACTGAGGTGATGAGCATCACGAAGACTGTTTCCCCCTAATCAGTCCCACAAAGCCTGCATGTACTGCTGGATACCAGATTATTGTAAATTGAAATCCATAATATTTGATGGTTTTAGCAGATATCCTACAAATTTGTGGGACATTTTACAACATTCTTGGTTTCTTTTATAATTCTTAAGTAAATCTTTGAATTAACTGAAATGATTCTGGACCTGGTTGTATAGTTTCCTGTTTTAGAGTAATAGGTCAGAGAGAACAGTTCTTTCTTTCCTGCATTGAATACATCAGTGCCATGAATTTAACCAGAACCTACTTCATGCAGTCTTCTAACTATTGTACCTATTTCTACCCTAGGCCAGCATTGAAACAGGGGACCGTGTCTGGAGGATGCCTCTCTTTGAACATTATACAAGACAAGTTGTAGATTGCCAGCTTGCTGATGTTAATAACATTGGAAAATACAGGTATGTAAAATGAGCTATAAAAGTACACCTTTATAATCATTGGTTACCAAAACGATCACTTTAATTTTATGCCCTTTCACAGAAAAATATAGCCAATTTTCTTTTGATGCAGTGTTCATAAGCACTAATTCCTAATGTCTTTAATTTTCAAGGTGTTTTCCAACTGGTTCTCAAAATTTTGTATGTTTTCAAATCTAAAAGTTATTTTATTTTTTTAAGTTTATTTATTTATTTGGAGAGAGACAGCATTAGGAGCCCAGGGGGAGAGAGAGACAGAGAGAGAGAGAGAATCCCAAACAGGCTCTGCAATGCCAGCACAGAGCCTGAAGCAGGGCTCAAACCCACAAAACCATGAGATCATGACCTGAGCCGAAACCAGGAGTTGGATGCTTAACCAACTGAGCAACCCAGGCACCCCTAAAAGTTATTGTAAATAAATGGTAAGGGAAAATGATGAAAAGTAAGTGAATTTATTACCATGGGGAAGAGGAATCTGGAATTTATTCTTTACCTTAAAGCTGTGTCTGAGAATAAATATTCTGAAAGTGGTTTCTGGGTTAAGTTCTTAGTAGATCTCATAAGCTTGACTTTTGCTGTCTGCTCATAGGAGCTACTTAGCACGAATGGAGGATCTTAATGAAATGGTCAGTGCACATTTACATGGCATTAAACAATGGCTTTTGTCTTTCTCTTCAGGTCTGCAGGAGCATGTACAGCTGCAGCATTCCTGAAAGAATTTGTGACTCATCCTAAGTGGGCACATTTAGATATAGCAGGTGTGATGACCAACAAAGATGAGATTCCGTATCTGCGGAAGGGCATGACCGGGAGGCCCACAAGGACCCTGATAGAGTTCTTGCTTCATTTCAGTCAAGATAGTGCTTAGTTCAGATCCTCTAAAATTTTTCAGTTCTCTTAAATGAGCAGTTGAGCCTCAAAATATTTTTGAATGAATGGATGAAAACCTTAAAAGAAACAAAGGATGGTATTTAAAAATGTAGAACAAAAGAAAATTTGATTATCTTGATTTTTTTCCATTTTAAGTAGAGATTTATAAAAGTAAAGCTAATAATCTTGCTTGGCAATGACTTTTAAGATATTCTATAAATGATTACATGTTGAAAAACTACCTGATTTTCAGAATAGATGTTTTTAAGTGAGGAGCAAAATGTATTTTAGATTTGTGATGCTAGGAACAAACTAAAGGTTCCTATGTACTTGTCAGAAAAAATAAATCCAACTTTTTATGCTCGCTGGTGTGGCTCTGGTATTCTGTATTACTGTCAACTCAGTGACAATTATAACTTGTCTCTTTCTGGCTGTGTTATGTGAACTAAGTAAGTTGGGGCATAGTGATACAGTATTTTCTCCAATGTTAATGATCACTTTAGAGTACTCAGTGATGAGCTTATCAGTTGGTGAGGTAGGTACTATTATCCCCAGATTACAGATGAGGAAAATGAGGCACCAGAGGGAGGGTTAATAACATGCCAACAATGTCACCAAGCTAGTAAGTGGGAAAGCAGAGATTAAACACTAGGGGGCCTCTCTCCAGAGCTGGCATTCTTAATTGCTTATTACACTGTAGTGCTTTCTGTCAATACAGTGGCTTGAATAGATGTGGAATATATTTAAGTGAAGAAACCAGACCAAGAGGGGCACCTGGGTGGCTCAGTCAGTTGAACTGAGCCTTCAGCTCAGGTCATGATCTCACGGTTCGTGGGTTCGTGCCCTGTGTTGGGCTCTGTGCTGACAGCTCAGCGCCTGGAGCCCGTTTCAGATTCTGTGTCTCCCTCTCTCTCTGCCCCTCCTCCACTCACACTGTATGTCTTTCTCTCTCAAAAATAAACATTAAAAAAAAAACAAAACACCAATAAAAGGAATGTTCATGGGTAGAGTATTGCTTATCACCTGGGACTACAACCAATCAACAAAATTCTACTTGTGCAGATTTAGGATAGAACAAACCTCTCCTCTTTTTTACTTTTTTGTATCTAGGTGAACAAATTACCCATGAATTGGATCTATCTATACCTTTTTTTTTTTAAGATTGAACATTTGACAGAAAACATGTTTATTGGAGTTGTTTTTAATATTTAAGAAATGTGACATGTAAGAGGATGTTATGTGTCTTAAGTGGTTTATAGAGAGGGAATGGGTATGGGAATGCACATTTGTGTTAGAATTAAAATCATGCAGGAATAGTGAGGAAACACAGGTGCCCCTGATTATCCATGTCCAGAAGGTACTTTGCCAGGAAAGATGGAAAAAGGTGGAACCACCACTTTGTGAAGGGAAACTAGAAGCATTTCGGTTTCTTCTAGGTGACTCCGAAGGTGAAGCAGGGATTTGATAGAAAGCTTTCTATCAAAGGCATTTTATAAAGAGAGGAACGACAACTCTTGTGTTTATTAGAGCATGGGATCCAAAAAGCATGATTTAGCCTTGGATTCATGTGCTTATTTAGTCTGGCTGAGATGAAATTTAGCTGTCATTGCACATGCATCTGGCTGCCAGGTATTTCACAAACCCTTCACTCGTCTCAGAACCACGCTCTGAGGCAGGTGGTATTACCCATGTCTATCAGGGAGGTCTAGGCATGGCTGCGCTGCACGCCAAAACAGTAGTGGTTTAGAATACGATAGTGTTACGTGGTAGCTGAAGTAGAGAACCCCCAAACTGAAGCGGCCCCATCCATGGTGGTTGGATATCCAGACTGGGAAATGCGAATCACCCCCCAGCCTCAAGTCTCTCTCACGGTCCCAGGTGGCTGTTGGGGTTGGAGACCACATGAGGATGGGAAGTGTTGAAGTCTTTTACTTCTGCAAAAAAGTGAAGTGATTCCCACTGTTCCGATGGGTTTTTTTTTTTCTTTTTTGGTTTTATAAAAGTTATATGTATTAAAACATTGATGGTAACATTAACTGGTTTATTTTTATATATTTTAAATTCTCAGTTTTAATAAGTAGATATTTTACCTATTCTAAGTTTTAATTGAATACTGACAACCCATACAAACAAAAATGTTTGTCGTACTCAATAATATTGTAGAGGCATAAAGGGGTCTTAAGACCCAAAAAGAGTTTGGGAACTGCTGGAGTCCACTAGTTCCATTATGGTGTTATATTTTTGTTCAGTCAACAAACACGCCAGGCAGTTTTGGGTGTTGAGAGTACAGGTACACAAGACAGGCAGGCCCTGATCTCATGGAGCTTGCATTCCTGTTGGTGCACATGTGTCTGGTGACTTTTGTTAATGAAGAACAATGAACAAGGTCATTTCAGGTGATGCTTAAATGTTGTAAAGAAAATTAAGCAGGGTGAAGTGGCTGGGCGTGTGGGGCTAATTTTGATGGACACTGGGAAGATGACTTTTGATCTGAGACCTGATTCGCAAAGGGGAGCCTCTGCTTTTTCTGATTACTTGTGCCCTGCCTCCCTCACTCCAGCCCTACTGGCCTTTCTGTGGTTCCTTAAATATGCCCGGCAGTTTCTTTCATCAGGCACCCCCCTGCCCCCGTCTAGAAAGATTTTTCTACGTAAATTTTTACTTCCGTCACTCTAGCGCAGAATCTCTGAGCGGACCTCTCCAGCTACCCATCTCAAATCCATCACTATGCAAATTCTTACCGGGTTTCATTTTTTTAAAACACTTATCTCTACATGATATTGCTATATATGTGTCTCTCTCTCCCACAAAAACAGTAGTGAACTCCACGAGAACAAAGACTTGGGGTGACTGTTAAAATCCCAGAGTAAACAGAGTCTAGGGCCAAGAATAAATGTGCTGGAAAACTGTGAAATTAAATATAATGGGACAAACACTTAGCTTCTGAAAAGATAAACAATTGTTAAAAAGCAAGTTACTGAAAGATATTAGCATAGTGGCTTTAATTAACTATACATATCTAAGGTGAACAATGCCAGGCACACAGGGAGCCTGAACAATGTTAATGTTTTTGTTACCGGTCTCTCCGCACAGAGAATGTAGGGGTAACTTTGCCACTTTGTTCCCGCTCTGCCCACACTGACTAGATTAGTCATAGGTACACAGTAAACGTTCGGTAACTGTGGAATAAAGGGGCGCCTCCCTCCTTCTTACCAACGGGGTGACCTGAGCCCGTAGAGAGCAGCTTTGGTCAAAGTCCTTCCAAATCTTAAGGGCAAAGCCGGGATTTGCACAGGAGCATCCTGACTCCTGGAGAAGGGCTCGCTCCATCGTAGTCACTGAATCCTCCACTCCCACAACTGCGTCAAATCCGGTCAAAGCTTTCAGTTAAGGTCACTAAAAGTCTGGCTGCCTACTGGCCGAGGAGAAAAGGGAGATGCCACCAAACCTACGGTTTCCCTGGAGCTGAACAGAAGCCCGCGGCGGCCTGCGGTGTCACGTGACCGTGCGTGCCCCGTGACCCGCGGGCGCCAGCTCCTGCGCAGGCGCAGTGGGCCTCTTGCCCACCCTTTCAGAAATGGCGGCGCCGCTGGGAGGTATGTTCTCCGGACAGCCGCCTGGACATCCCGGAGACTCCAGGGGCCAGGCTTCGCTTCTTCAGGCAGCGCCAGGCCCTCCGAGAACTTCTAACAGTACGTTGGTGGACGAGTTGGAGTCCTCTTTTGAGGTAAGATGAGACTGCGGCGTCCGTTCCCAGCCTCCTTTCTTACCTGAACCCTAAGCTGCACCTGGGCAGTTTGCCCCTTTCAGTGATGCTCGCGACAGGCTTCCAGATCGCGGAAGAGGCTCAGAGAACATAAGTTACTTGCTTTAATCTCCACTTTGAGTGGTGGCCGGAAGTGTGCGCAGGTCTGCTGGCGGAGACCTAGACTTTGTTTCTGGAAGCACGTGGACTTCAAGTTTGCCCACCCCCAGCCTTGGACCCTTCTAGGTTCCCAGTTGGTGGTTCCCGTTTTACTCTTTCTTGGCCCCATCCCTGAGCGCTCTTCCCCGCATCCCTGCGTGTAGGGTACTGGTGGATCTACGAAGGGTAACGACACACTGCTACGTCCTGTTCCTTTCCGCTGGGCTGCACCCTTAAACGGCCCTGAAGTAATGGACTCTTGGAGATGAAATGGACTTACGTAAAAGTTGCTGTGTTGAAGTTGGTACTAGGAGAGGCGGGGGGAGAAGGAAAGCAAGCTGGGGGTTAGGGAGCGAGGGAGGCAGGGATGACCCAAACCGAGTTCTGCTCTAGAAGTTGGAAAATGGGAAGTGGTAGTAGACAAAGGAGAGGTAAAAATAAGTTAGTGCTTAAAAATAAGATGGTTTCCAGTGGTCCCTAAAGTGAAAGATGAGCCATTATTGTGCGGAAATCAAATAACTTATAAGTGCAGGCCCCTTTCCCACATTTTAAATCCTAGTCGTGTGAGTTTTATACTATGTGTAATAGCAGAGTAGAACATGAATATGGTTTGTAAATGACTGTTACTGGGGCTGCATGGGCAAAAATGTTTTTACTGGGGAGTGTACATTGAAAAGGTTGGAGATAAGGAACTGATTTGAAGGATATCCAAATCTATCTGGGAGGAGAATGAGATGCTTTTGCAGTGGTACCAAGCCAGAAAGGAAGGGGTTTGGTAAGCTTTAGAGCAGCATTTAGCGTTGAGGTGAGGTGGCGGTCAGTCATGAGAGCTTGTTGAAAGACCGGCCCTGTAGATGTCTTGGCCAGAGCCAACCACCAGTGTCCTAATGCTGTCACTCTTGAGTTAAAGCCAAAAGGTTACTGTGGTCTTCCCAGCTCTGCATGTTCAGCTTTCTGCTTCATTCCAATTTTCTCTTCCTTCTAGGCACATAAGACTCCTTCTGCATGTGCTGTTTGTTTTCCCTTTGGGTTTCCAGCTGCCTTCTCCCAAGTCCCGCATCACTTCCCCAATGGATCTGTCCTTTATTCTCCCATCAGTGCTAATACAATGGCAGCAGGTAGCAATAGTTTTGATAGATATTTGTCAAACAGTGAAGGAGCCTGTTGTGGCCCTGTCTTTGGTGCTTAGAATGCAGAGAAAACAGTCCTTGCCATCAAGGAACTCAAGACAGCCGGGTGGAAGAAACAGATGAGTGGCAGGCAGTTGCTGTGTTGGGGGATCACTGCTCTGGTAGAAGAAAACCCGGGGTACTCTGAGAGCACACATGGGTGTGGCTGCCAAAGGCACTTCCCAGGGAATGTGAAACCCAAAAGGGCGTTCAGACAAAGCCAGCTGAAAGGGAGTGAGTGGTGCGACCTGGGCTGGCTCTCTGCTGCTGCATGATCACCCATCTGGTCTTCTCAGGACTTTGCTCAAAGGCCACATTTTCATTTCCTTTTCATTTCACTGTGGTCTGTGTGGGCCTCTGTTTTGTAACCTGCAGTGGTTCATGGCACCTGCTTGCCCACTTTTCATTTCTATTTGGGGGCTCTCCCTTTAGGTCTCTAGCTTTCTCGTTCTAGTTGCTCAGTAAATGCTCTTCAATGTAATGAGTTTGTTGAGATCATGCATTCTTGTGGGGGGAAGTCTTGGAGACCATCCTCTCCTTTTATGAATGGAGAAACTGAGGCTCAGAGGAGAAATTACTTGCCCAAAGCCAACCCCTTGGCTTGTGCAAATGAGGACTATTACTTGGGCCTCCCTACTGTCCATCCTACGCATACTTCTAACGTTTTTGTTTT